CCCGAGTTTCGACAACCTCGGCCGGACGTGGCTCATTCTCCTCCAGACGATCACGGCGTCCGGGTGGATGGTGTTGACGCAAACGGTGCGTTGACTACTCAACTGGTCTTAGCCGAGCCTCACCCTCCCTGGACTCCTTCTGTGCAAAACAAACAGACTCGTTACGAGCCCCCCTCTCCTGGAACTGATCCAACCCTCTTGCCCGTTCCTTGGACACGACGTACTACCGTTTCCCGCAAAGTATCGTCTTCTCGACAGCCGATCCCGGCACTTCAGCGGCTTCGTCCCCCACAACGCCGTCGCGACTAGAATCCAATCGCCCTCGACACCGCCCCTACACCACGTACTGCCCCTCCACAAGTACCGTTGGCATTAGAAAGACTTGTCACCGCAACCACTAATTTAATCTCCAAGTGTGCCGCAATCACTGCCCAGTGCCGTCCGTCTAGATCAAGCAGCGTGCATTCGTTCGACCAATTGAACCTCTAGGCACGGATGTGTGTTTGCCAAGGTCCATTCCATGGCGACCGCGGCCGGGACATTCCATAAGGGCTCTGGGCGATGGTGGTGCAAGTGGCCGACCCGAAGCCCACAGCGACAACGAAAGATCACATCGCCATCGCTATTTATACCTTCCTGGGCTAATTCCAGCAAGTCGCGATCGGTTTCAAGCATCGTAGCGGTGTCGCGGGAGTTTCACTTGAGCCCTTTTGCCGCTGCCAACCCACACACAGACCGTTCCCACCGTGCCCTCTCCATGACATGGAAAAAACCGAGCAGCACGACGCCACGGTAAAGATCAAGCACAGAAAGGTACGTCAATCGTCCGTCGATCGACATTTCGTCGATTCGTTCACTCGTGCGACTCATCGTTGGATCCAGTTTCAACGGACGTCCCTCGGGTGCCTCACAACCAAACACCCCCTTCGACGAATATGCATCAAGATCGTCACGTGGAAGTGGTTTGACCGGTTCATCGTGTTCTGCGTCGTGTTCAACACCGT